TTGTTGTCCTTGTTTGGTCGTTCGTACAGAAACTCCGTGCTCCTGTCGATGACGGCGCCGGCGACTCGACGGCGTTTCTAGGACCTATGTTTTCTTTGCCATTTCAACTGCGCCGTTAAGTTTGAAGGCACCTTCCATGTCCATGGTATGTGTGTCTGTGGATGGTCATACTACACACAGCCATGATGAGGCAATGTGGCACCATCATGTATGGTGACTCGTGCATGCATCTCTCGGCATGGTGGGTAGTATTTCTTTGACCGGGTCTAGACCTACCATGGGCCTCTATAAATTTCATTGTCTCGTTTGTCTGCATCTGCCACTGCCATATACTTTTCACTTTTGTTTTCTTTATTTTTATACATCGTCCCCTTTTTTTTAATATTTTTTTGAATGACAATTATCCCAACCGGCTAAAATTCGCAATATAAAACTCAAAGAAAGAATCAAACTTTCCATTATTCTAGAGAACTTAAAAAAAAAAAAAAAATTGATGTACTGATAACGGCTTTAATATTTTAATGGTAGTTTTTACCTTAAAAACTTTTAAATTAAAGTCATAAAATATTAAAAAAAAATTTTATGTCCAATGAATGAGAAAGGGTTGTGTAATTAAAAATAAAAAAATATATTGATTTAGAAGTGTTAAAAAAATTTTATTATATGTAAAAATTTATTATTTTATAATTTAGATTATTTTAAGTTGTAAAATAAAAAATATTAAACAGGAAGAGGTTTCCAATATTATGAAATCTCTTTTTTTTTTTCTTTTAAAGTTGATGTTTTATAATACAGATTATAAAATATTTATATATATAATACATAAAATTATAAAATTTTATTATTGACGGCATAGTATATTAAAACATGTGAATCACTAAAATTAAATTGCTTGAGAGTTGCTAATAACTTAAGTAATATGACAATAATTTATTTATAATAAAAATAAGAGATTTATTGTTTAAAACGTATGACATGGGAATAGTTGAATGGGTGGATTAAGAGAAAATTCAGATTTTTTTTAAAAAAAAAAAAAATTCTTGAGGGTTACCTGACGGATATGAGAAAATTGAAATAATTGGCCTTAAATTGTTTTCCTTTAAACGCCTCCTTATTTTGGTAGGAGAAAATGCAGCAATAAAACAATGGGACAATAGGATTGGCATTATATTTTTAAACACGATATTAACGAGTTATGGTTGGACGGTCCCTCAATCTTACCCACTAATTCTGTGGACCCAAATGGGAAAGAAAAAAAAGGCTAAAATCAAAACAATAGTGTAGTACTTATAGAAAACCTCAATGTAAGGAAATGTAAAAGATAAAAGGGACCCATCAATACCAAAATTTCTGACGACAACGTGTGGTCCAATGTCATGAAATAATTATGGACTTTTGATTCCATTTCAGACAGCTGTGGTTTTAAAAAAACTGACCTCTCCCTTTCTTTTTTTTCTTTAAATTGCTTTGGATAATTTAAACTGGTCCGGACGGCTTCATTTGACTTTGTGCTTCGTCTTGGATAACGTAGGGTAAGGGCCCATGATGTTTTATTAAAGTATACTCCTTGATTATATTGGAATTATGCAGAAATTAGCGACCACTTGCTCAATTAAAGCATGTGTGTCACATGTATGATTTGGACAGTTAAGGATCGTTTTGTCAAAATAAATTTCTAGGACCCCTTTTTTCTTTCTTTTTGTTTTGCATAGCTTTCTTGAAGTTGTTTAGAAATTAAGCAATTGGCATAAACCATTAGGTCGCACAAGCCCATTCCATTTCCTTCAAGGAAAAGGGCACAAAAGGGTAGGGATGAAAAGGAAGGTAAGAATGGAATGCATGTGAAGAAAAAAGGTTGGCACTTCCTTTTGTTTGTTTGAAAAAGGAGGAGAAAGGGAAACAAAAGTAGGCAATGAAATGACTCGCTTTTTGGATTCACCATCGTCCCATTTTGTATTAAACTTTAATCAATTTGTTTTATACTTGTAATAATGAGTCAAAAGTAGAAAGGGCATTCAATCATAATAATGAGTCAAAATTAAAAAGGGAGATTTCAGTTCATGACCATTTGTTTAGATATCTAATTTGCTTGAATTATGGGCAACGAATCATGACTTGTTCAATAAGAAATTCAAGGGACCCATTAGGAGAGAGATATTTATAGGAATTTATTATTTAATTGTTCCAATTGCAAAATATGAACCATTATAGGAGAACAGTCCATAATATCAATGAGCCCAATCCCATGTAATAGTATATATCGTGCAGTCTAATGCAGCCAAAGATGAAATTAAGAAAACCATTAAATTAACATGATACTATTAATTTAAAAACCCATATGTCTAACACCACCCCACCTTCACCAAGAAATTCCATCAAAAGATTTGTAGCCCTCCCAAACATGGTGCATAGAAAAGAATGTTAAACCTACTACCAGCCAAAGTGCAAGCTTCTGTTTTAACTTCCAAAAATTTCATATATATATATATAATATATATGATCAAGAATTACTGTGAATATCCAACTTTTATCCATTATTGCACAGGTCAGCAGAAGTTTTCTAAGGTGTTTCTGCATCACTTGAACCAGAATGGTTATCCAAATTGAATCCCTCAGTGAGCCCAGTTACAGTTATCCTCCATCTGTCAGGAGATGCACACAATTCAGAATTTTAGATGTTAAGTTATAGCTAAAATTAAAACAATAATGGGATTTAAAAATGAAATTGAGGGATAATTAGAACCTTTCTAAAACAATCTTCCCTTCTTTATACTTCTTCTGATCTTTGTCATGCACAGTAACCTACAAATCATAATCATCACTTAAAACACAGGCCATGTATGATAAGATTGTATTGAGACCACCAAGTAAAATGGCTTGAGCAAATTAATGCTGTCAGTCAATTCCTTGATCAAGGAATTGATTATTCTTTGTGTTTATATTCGACAAAGAGAGAGATAAATAATGCGAGTAGCATACATATTTCCATCCAATAATCTGTCCGCAGCAGCAGCAAAATACATCTTCCACAGTATGCATACCAGATATCATGATCCTCTCTTCCTGGGGTCCAACTGTCACGTTCACCCTGGATCAAAGTGTACCAGGCCTTAACAAGTTAATCCAACCAGATCTTAAAATGATAAAATGCAAAGGAACGTTTGAATTTTTTTTTAATAATTCTCCATTCAAATTGCTTAATTTGGTATTCTAAGATGAATCTTGAAACAAAAGATAAACAGAATAACCTGATAGTTAACACCATTAATTTCAAGAATGCTTTGCAATTTATTACTGAAGTTCCAATTCAATTTCATAAAGTTTTAGACAATGTGTTGGAGAGAGAGAGAGAGAGAGACTTACACTTTATTGAAGAGTAATGCCCTCCCTCGACTGCAAGTAAAAGACTGCACAATTACAAGGCATTCAACCAAGTAAGGATGTTAAAAGAAGATGCTCAATAGATACAAGGAATATATGCAAAAAGGTGAAAAAAAAAAACTAAAAATAAAATAAAGGATATTCATAAGGTTTACATATTTTGCTCGCTCAAAAGCAGTCATTTCATCCAATTTTTAATCATAGCATTCTCAAAGTTCACAATTAGCACAAGCCTAAATAGTATACACATCATCTCTAATTTTGTTATTGCTTATGTGTCTTCCTCATGAATTGCAGCTTAATGAACCCAATATTTAGACAATAAAGCAATCCATATACACCATCATCTTTTCTGAATTCCGGGGCTACTCAGAAATCTCTGATGCCTCACAAGTACCCAAATTATCGACTTTCCCAGAACTGGTAAAAATGGTTTTCTACATACAATTTAGCATTTTTGTCATTCAGTGTAATCTTATTGGACTGTTGAAGCCATCAGAATTGAGATATCATTCATTGAAGAAGGGTCCACAATCCACATCCAGGTAGACACCAACCAATCTATAATTGAACATTCCTGATTACATCTGGCTCTCTGCATTACCCACCTGAAACCACAAATTTCTAGAAAACCCTAAATACCCATTTCACATCTACCAACATTAAAATCAATTGCTTGATATAAAGGAATAAGACAACGAGGTGAGCAAGTCAGATCCTTTTCACAGTCCCATAAAAGGTAATTCCAATTTCCAGGGTTCAATCAGCTGATTTCACAGAAAAAAAAAAAAGAAAAAAGAGGGAGTACCCGGGAGAGAACATCGTCGATCAGAGCAAGATGACTCTCACAGAATCGGCATCTGTAGTGTGTCCTGTTTCCCAAATCCACCAAAAACACTCTTCCCATTATCTCTCTCTATCCGCTCCTCTCGTAACCCCCAATCAAAGAATGAATGTAGCAGCCAACGCCACGCAGACAGAACACAAATCTTTGCACGGTTTTGCCACGCCATGGTCCTGTTCCCCGTGCCATTGTGGATTTCAATCACCGGTTACTGGCAAGTCCCGGTGATGACATACTATTTTTCTTTTAATTTTAAGTACTACTTTTTTTTTTTGGTATACCACGCATTAATATATTAAAATATTTCTTTTATAAATTTTAATTTTTTTAATTTTGATTATAAAATATGTGGCAGCATTTTTTCATCATTTATTTCAATTCATCATATGTAATGTAATTTAAATTTAAAATTTTTTATTTTTAATAAAATGATATTATTATTAAATTACCTAAATTGTTATCTTATAAATTTTAATTAATTTCACCAAATTCATATCAAATTGATCATATATATACATTTCACGTATTATGCGATTCAAATTTAAATTTTTTTATTAAAAATAAATTATTATTAAATTATTTAAGTCATTAACAACTCATCGGAGAATTCTTCTTGCTCAATCATAAAATGATTTGTTTATGGAAGTAATTGTCCAAAGTATAGATTATCCATAAAAATGGAGAGTTCAGGTCAGCTTGGTTTGAACTGGAACTGAGCCTTTCTCCCTTTTTTTTTTTTTAATAACATTAGTAGCGAGGACTGGAATCCATTTATTTTGCTTTGTGTCCTTTCATTTCTTTATCAATTATCTGTTGGAATTTCTACCTATAAAAAAAAATTGAAACTTTTGCCAATCCTATTAAAAAAAAATTTAAAAGAAACCCTTTGGTTAAAAAAAAAAGAGTCCTCGGGCCCAAAAAAGAAAGGTTAAAAATTGTCAGCTTCCAATCCCTTGTGAGCAAACAAAAGACGCAACCAATTTGTGCTCCGGATTCATCTCATCTAAATAAAGTTTATTTCTGAAAAAACATGCCAGGCCACTTAGTCCGTGTGCTGTTATGGTCCCTTGTACTGAATATCAGAAGGAAAAAACCATCTCACACAATTAATTTCCACACGTGACGCGATGCAACAGGCCAAAGCAGTTCAAAGAAAAAACTATCCCAAAGCCATGAAAGTACCTTCACGTGAACATGCACCAGTTACGGTGATAAATTTTATTGTCTCACAAAAGTACTCAACTGTCATAATTTTTAATTGAGAAATGCAACGTGCGGTTGGCATAAATTTAAGTACACAAAACA